TTTTCAACATCTTAAGGGGAGTTTCCGTTTCATAAGTCTGTACTTAAAAATAGAACGTTTCCGCTTACTAATGTTTCCAGTTTCCGCACTGATATAATTCAAACTTTTCAACGTAAATATATTTATGTACATCCCCGGAAACCAATAAGTTATAAAATTTGTTTTGTTCTATTTTCGTGTCAGTCAGTGGAACAAGAGTGATTGTTTACTCCAAAACTCGAGCAGCCAACAAACAAATACAAAATAAAAATATAAAACTAAAAGAAAACATTTGACCTTACTAGCTTAACAAACAAACAAAACACTGAAAACACTGCACTTGAAATAGCAGATGGGGGAATTTTGCTAGCCTCGATTTAACAGCCACCAGACTCGGCAGAGCGTAGGAATTCGCGCGCGAGTGCTTTGTCTCAGAGGTAGCCCACATGTATTTCAGACATTCTGTTCGTTACGATGCAGCACAAAAGAACTGCGGAGAGGAAAAGAGGAGAGCTCAAGAGAGGCTTCGTACGAAGAGCGAACTTCTTCCCATGCCGCTCGTCCCCTATCTTTTCGTTCGTCTTTTCGCGTTGCGACCCAACTAACTGAACTCCTGGAAGAGGCGAGGTACGGAGGCGGAGCTTCTAACGAAATCGAAGCATCGAAGAAAATGTACCCTGCGAGTAGTTTGGTTCCTTCTACGCTGATAAAAGCTAGTGTTACGCCCAGGTGGGTCTCCTTTAGGGATTTAATTCAGATGTTTCGACGGGCATCCCCGACCTTTTCACATGAGAGTCCGGGCCTCGGGGTTGTGCACTCAAGTTAGTCACTATGCACGTTTACATTTGGTTAGACAGGCAGCAGACGGATATCCTCATGCCGATCTTTATTGGCATTTAAATACCACTTTCAAAAAAGTAGGGATAAAACACTTAAAGTAAATTTAAAACAAAGAACTTGTTGACTGCCAATCTGAAGTTCGCGAGGTACAAACAATTTTAAAAATGCATGGTCCGACTCGCGGATGTTAAAAACAAATTGCTTGGTGACAACTGCATTTCCTCTGAGAATGAGACTACAGTTTTCTCAATTCATCAGATGGCTTGATATCCAGGAAACTGAGAGCATTTTCTCACAACCCATTTCCTGATCACAATGAACTTGCATGAAAACGCAATGTTTGTCCATTTTAGATGAAAACTACTATCAAATAAAATTTCATATTTTATTGGACAGCATCCACCCTACGCCGGGGAAATTTGAAAACGCAGCTATATTTCTACGGTTTGGCCTACCGTCCACACTAATCCGTCACGAAAACGGAGCTTTTTGAAAACGCTCTTCAAACAGGAGAAATTTGAAAACGCCCGCTTTTGTTTTCGTTTGGACGGAAAACGTTTTGAAAATGGAGCTTCTCGACGACGATTTAGTCTTGGTAACGATAATCATGTGATTCCCTGACCGAGTTCTACTTAAACGCAAATCCAAAATGACCGGTGACTGTTGCGTTTTTAAATTCCTCCAGTGAAGTGTGCACGAGGCCTTAGATTTTCTTGATATCTTGGTTACCTCTTCACCTGTGAATTGGGTTAAACGATGCTCTAGTTTTATCACCTTTATGTGTTAATTGCATGGTCGTGACCTCGAATATTCATTTAGGAAATAGTAAAGCGTCACTGTGTCTTTTCCGTTCCACGCCCTAGCTGGGTTCAGCTGGAGAGCCGGCGCGAGTTATGATTTTACAACATTTTACAACTCTGTAATACTTTTTGAGTATAGTAATCGGTAACAGAAAATGGTATTATGGAAGTGCAAGTCTAACATTTAGGTTGAGAAAGAGACTATGATATAGATCCTAGTCTTTTGGTTTGAGCTATACCATATTTAAAACAATAATTAAAATAAAGCGGGTATCGTGTGGGACGAAATTTTTGCAGGAGTTTATTTTTGTGATTCGGTAATATCATTGTATTTTGCGGGAACTAGTTTTTTTGCGATTGTAGAGGACTTTTTCTTCAGTGCTGGGTGCCAATTTTTGCGTTTTTCGCGAGGTCGCGTTTTTAAAATTGAAACATAGATTGAAATGACAACATTTTCGCAATTTTTACATTAAACTGCATGCAATTGACAAAAGAAACAAAATTAGAGAAGTAACGAAAGAGAGTTTTTAAATAAATGGCAGAAACAAGATTCTACTTGTGATGTTTGTATGTATACTTTCGCCAGTGGCAACTTTTATATATTTGGCGAATCGTGGAAAAAACCGCAAAAATCGCAAAAATTTAGCGCCACACTGTATTTCTGGTTAATTGGCCCCTACATTGGCAGATCCGGGCAGTTAAAAGGAGCGGGGTTGCTGTTGACGAAAACTTTTCGACCCCTGATCTAGCCTTACATATGTCTTTCAGCCAGGTGACTTTCGGCCCGGGGAGGGGGGGGGGGAGGGACTCGGACGGGGGTCCTCGTCGGACCTTTTAAGGGTTAAAAAGCAGCTTCGGAGCCTCGTAGGGTGTTCAGCCTCAAAGGGTCAACAGTGAAAGCTTTTGTAGTACCTTTTAAGGTGTTGAGCCGAAACAAATACTACAGGAGATATTTGTCAATCAACTGACCATTAAAGGAATCGATTTTATTTACCGTTTGGTTTATAATAAACTTAATATTAAACAGGATAGAGATTTATGACAAGGCTTTAACGAGTGGAAGGCATTCGAAGCAATCGACTTTATCGCTATCAAAAATTAAGTGTCAGTTGATGCGTTGTTTTTAAAATTTCAAGCCACGCCCACAAAACAGGATCTTGGTATCTCTTAGCAAATGCTTAGAGGTTCTTTTCAATATTTCCGGCGAGCACCCTTATTGGTTCTTTTTATATGGGTGTCCCCCCCGGCACTTTTTTTGGTACCCTCTCTAAATGCGTTGGTTACCAATGGACGATATGTTTAATCATTGGTTGATTGACTGACCGTCTAACATAGAAGAGCTACATGTTTTAAAATTCGTTTCACTTCTATGGTTAGAAACCGGATATGTAAAAGTAAAGAAAAAGGAGCGATGAAAGAATAACCATGGTAAATGAATGAATGAAGTGAAAGAAATGCAAATTAATGAACATACAGACGAAAGAATAGATAGATTAATAAATTAAATAAATAATAAATAAATATAAATAGTTAAATGATCTGAATGAATGATTGAATGATTGAATGAATGAATGAATGAATGATGAATAAATGAATGA